CTGGCTCCCACTCAGGTCAAGGTTTTTGTTCTAGTTTTAATACCATATGTTGCAAAGTAGGGTAATGTTTACCACAGGTGACATTAAAAAGTGTGTAAATTTAGTTGTTTGTAGTTTCCCTTTGACAAGAAACAACATGAAATTAAAAATTTCAGACATTTTATGTGTTAGAAATGTCAAATGCACATACTTATTTTTCAGGGGGAAATTCAAATATTTCAAATGTAAGCATAGACCCTGTTTTGGCAATAGATATTGTATGCTTTGTATTTGTTGCTTTGCTCCTTCTTAGTCCTGATTCTACATGGGCTCTCATGTCATGTCTTGAAGTCAAAGACTTCCGTTTGAAGATACCACTGCAGGGTTAGGGACTGTCTTTAAACATTAAAATCAGGAAAACAAATATAAAATGTGATAGACATGTATGACAGTCAGGGTTATCACCCAAATAGCAGCATACGTTTCTGGGTAAATGAAAATATCTTTAAAGGTGTAAAAAGTTAAGGTTCCCTGGCAATATGAAAAAGGCACATCTCGAGTGTGCATATCTCCAAAGACCAGGCCATAGCTGGACTGCCAAGGAGGCAAGAGCACAGAAGAAAGCCAGCATCTGATGGAAGTGCTGCTGCTGGGTGCAATTTTGTATTCTGCTGCCAAAGTATGCAACCTCAACTTGAACCAAAAGGGATTTTATGGAGATGAAGATATGGAGAGCCTGTGGCTGCGAGAAACACTTTGTCTGTTCGTAGATTTGATGCAGACTTTCTGCTCTGACTCTCAAGACTCGATGCTTCCTCAGTGAAGGAGGAATAAAGCCGCCCTCATGTTTAATGCAGCTGTGAGTGATGAGAGAATAAATTTGATTGTAGAAGCCATTAATGGTGAGGGGAAGGTTGCAAAAGCAGATTACTGTAATGACACAGGGGAGATGAATGCACAATTACAACTGGGTTGCACCTGAACAGTTTTTCAACTGGAATTTTTTGGAATCAAACATTTAAATCTGTGATCATCCAATAATAAGCCTGATCCTCCTACCACTAGACTTTGGGTCACAAGAATGCAGGTCAGCCAGAAGTCAAACCTAGAAAATAATTTTCCGGGGAATGCATTAGGAATTGCAAAACCGGTCCCAAATAAGCAACACTTAATGATTTTGTTTCTAAAATCCCAGATTATTGAATGGAAGACTATAGGAGGAGATAATAATCGTCACTCATATTTGTTCTTCTGTGTCATATTTCCACCCACATGATAATATAAAGTACATTTTAGAATTGATGAACAACTATCTCCTGAGGGCCAAATGTAAATGTCCTTCACTATCTCTGTTTGACTCAATAGTTTCACCATAAATTCTATCTCCTCAAATCTGATTCTTTGAAATAGTTATAGTCTGGAGCTCTGGCTCCCACTCAGGTCAAGGTTTTTGTTTTTTGTTTTTTCTTAATAGCACATTCATTTTTGGACTTTCTGTGATCACCAACACTCCAACACAATTGATCCCATGTTGCAGGTTTAAACACCTCCATATAAGAGTCACATCTTTATTCTACTTCACCTCAATTGAGAGTGTGACCTGGCCAATGTGCTAATCTGTCAGGGGAATTGTTGCTTTAACAATGCCTGAGCTCACAACCTGCCTCAGCTTTGACATCACACACTGGCACAATGTCACTGTTCTCTCAGAGACCATTTGGTTTGAAGGGACCTGACAGGAGTCAATAGTGATCCAACAGAGGGAGGAAAATGCAGCGTCAAAGAAAGCCCACAAATCCAAGAGGAGAAACGGTGACAAACCAGTGAACAAAGCATCGGCATGTCGTTTCAGGAGTGCTTGCTCACTCTTGTTCTTCTTTGTTAATGTTCTCTCCTTCTAAGGCATACGTCATGAAGCCATTGAAGCCAGTCGAAAGTTTGCAAGTGAGCGTTCCGCAGAATGCCTCCTGCCTCGCTCTACATCAGCAGAAGGGGCAGTAAAGTGACAGCTGCAGCCTTTCATTGAACAAAAAGACTGCAGCAATACAGCTGCCATGAAGAAATGAAGAAATGTGTAATGTACTGTATAGTGGAGCGGACAACACGTTTGATGGAAGGATAAATGATTGTAGCTCGAAAAGGTTTTGTAGGGTGAGTTGACAGAAACAATGTTTCCATCCAACAAGAGATTTAACTTACTGAGAGATAAAGGGGAAATAAAAGTGGAATGCAAAAGAAAGGTTTGATTTACAGACGTAAGACTCTTCATCTGCACTTCTGCAGATCTGCAGAAAAGCCGTCCTCACTAGAAT